TTTCCTTCCAGTACTTTCTGTAGTTTTCTGATTAGTGGATATGTAATGTTTAAATCTATTTTTCTCATTGAATGTCTTCTTTTCTCCATTGATAGTGATTGAGAGCTTTACTGAGTATAGTAGTCTGGGCTGATATTCATGGTCACTTAATGTTGGTAGGATATTTATCTAGGACCTTCTGGCTTTCAGAGTTTCCATGGAGAAGTCAGGTGTGATTCTGATGTGTGTGCCTTTATATGTTACTTGGCCTTTTTCCTTTGCTGTTTTTAATATTCTTTCTTTATTTTGTATGCTGTAGTTTTGATTATTATGTGGTGAGGGAACATTTTAGGGGTCCACTCTATTTGGTGTTCTTTAGACTTATTGTATTTTCACTGGCATATCTTTCTTTAGGTTGGGAAAGTTCTCTTCAATGATTTTGTTGAATGATTTCTGTACCTTTGAGGTGGTTGTCTTCACCTTCTTCTGCCCCTATTATTCTTTTTTTTCTCATTTTATTTTTTAACATTTTTAAAAATTTTAAATAGCTTGTTTTACATGTCAATCCCAGTTCCCTCTCCCTCCCCTCCTCCCATACCCCCATCCCCCCCATCCTCCCTCCCTGTTGCCAATTCCTTCCCCATAGGGGATATCTAGAGTCTATCATTTCATTCAGGGTAGGATCCAGGAACTTCCCTAAGAGTCCAGGCAGAGAGAGCAACCCTCTTTGTGTTATGGACACATGATATCTGTTAGTATTCGAGGGATAAACACTGGTCCACTGCTCAGCAACCCATAGGTAGCCCAAGCTTCATCTTTGACTCTCACATTCAGGGGGTCTGGATTGGTCCCAAGCTGGCCTCCCAGCTGTCGGTCTGGGGTCCAAGAGGTCTCCCCTGCTTGGATCAGCTGTCTCTGCTGGTTTTGCCAGCCCATTCTTTGCCAATTTGCTCATCGCTCCTCTCTCTCTGTCGCTGGGTTCCTTGGGTTCTGTTCAGTATTTAACTGTGGGTGTTTGCCTCTGCTTCCATCAGTCTCTGGATGAAGGCTCCAGGATGGTTATAGACATCAAGTTCACTATCAGGAATAGGCATTCGAGGTGGTCTCTACGCTATTGCTTAGCTTGCCAATTGGTGTCATCCATTTAGATCACAAGAAGTCACAATGGTGCCTGATCTGTCTTCTAACCTATGATTCTCTTCCCCCTATGCTACCCCCCCGCAGTCGACCTTCCTGTTCCTCCATGTCCTGCTCTCTCTTCCACTTCTCCCACTCTCTATTTCCCAGGTCCCCTTCCCTCCCACTCCTCACCTTGTTCCCCATCCATTCAGAGGATCTTGCCTCATTTCTCTTCTCTTGGGTACCATGTATATCTTTTAGGTTCTTTCCTGTTTCCCATACTCTCTGTCAGTGGAAGGGCAGACTGGCACTCTACTGATCCATGTCTAAACTCCATATATGAGTGAGAACATACCATGTTTGTCTTTTTGTGACTGGGTTACCTCACTCAGAATGGTTTCTTCCAGTGCTATCCATTTACCTGTGAATCTCAAGATTCCATTGTTTTTTTTTCTGCTGAGTAATACTCCATTGTGTAAATGTACAATATTTTCTCTATCCACTGTTCAGTTGAGGGGTATCTAGGTTTCTTCCAGGTTCTGGCTATTACAAATAATGCTGCTATGAACATAGTGGAGCAGATGCCCTTGTTGTATGATTTTGCCTCCTTTGGATATATGTCTAAGAGTGGAATTGCTGGGTCTTGTGGTAGATTGATTCCCATTTTCCTATGGAATCTCCATACTGCTTTCCAAAGTGGCTGTATGAGTTGGCACTCCCACCAGCAGTGGAGGAGTGTTCCCCTCTCTCCATATCCTCTCCAGCATAAATTGTCTTCGGTGTTTTTTATTTTAGCCATTCTGACAGGAGTAAGATGGTATCTCATTTCCCTGATGGCTAAGGATATTGAGCACTTTCTGAAGGGTCTTTTGGCCATTTTAGCCTCCTCTATTGAGAATTCTCTGTTTAGTTCTGTACCCCACCTTTTGATTGGATCCTTTGGTGTTTTGGAGTCTTGCTTCTTGAGTTCTTTGTAAATTTTGGAGATTAGCCCTCTGTCAGATGTGGGGTCAGTGAATATCTTTTCCCAGTCTGTGGACTGCCTTTCTGTCTTGTTGACTGTGTCCTTTGCCTTACAGAAGCTTTTTAGTTTCATGAGGTCCCATTTGTTAATTGTCAATCTCAGTGTCTGTGCCACTGGTGTTATGCTCAGGAAATGGTCTCCTGTACCAACTTGTTGAAGAGTATCTCCCACTTTCTCTTCTAAAAGTTTCAGTGTGGCTGGATTTATGTTGAGATCTTTGATCCATTTGAACTTAAGTTTTGTCCAAGGCGATAAACATGGATCTCTCTGCAGTCTTCTGCATACCAGTACCCAGTTATGCCAGCACCATTTGTTGAAGATGTTTTCTTTTTTCCATTGTATAATTTTAGCTACTTTGTTAAAAATCAAGTGTTCATAGGTGTGTGGGTTAAAATCAGGGTTTTCAATTCGGTTCCATTGGCCTACATGCCTATTTTTGTGCCAATACCAAGCTGTTTTCAGGACTATAGCTCTATAATAGAGCTTGAAATCAGGTATGGTGATGCCTCCTGAAGTTCCTTTATTGTATAGGGTTGTTTTGGCTGTCCTGGGCCTATTATTCTTATATTTGGCTTTTCCCTGTTTCCCAAATTTCCATGATATTTCTTGTTAGGGATTTTTTGGAATTAAGATTTTCTTTGGTCAATGAATCTATTTCTCCTAATGAATCTTCATCGCTTGAGATTCTCTCTTCCAAATCGTATTCTCTGTTGGTTATGCTTGTATCTGCAGTTCTTTCTTGTTTACTCACCTTTTCTAATTCTAGCATTTCTTCAGACTGTGTTTTCTTATTGTCTCTGTTTCAGCTTTCAAACCTTACACTAAAAATTGTTTCTTACAATTTTTAGTTTGTCTTTTTTTCCATTTCTTTAAATAATTTTCTCATTTCTTCTTTATGGTCTCTATCATCTTCATGAACTTGTTTTTAAGGTCATTCTCTTCTGGTAAATCTCTGTTGTGATGTTCAGGTCTTGCTGGTGTAGACTCCCTGGACTCCGGTTTTGTCATATTGGTTTTTCTGTTATTGAATGTGTTCTTATATTGTTGTTTTCCCATTCCTTCTTCCAGTAGGTACAGGTGGGATCTCTTCCTTTCCTGGTGGGTATGGATTCAAGGTTCTCTTCCAGTGGGTGCAAGCAGGTCCATTAATCTGATGGGTCTCACAGTGGGTACAGATGGGTCTGAGGCACTCCCTCTCCAAGTATGTGGGAACTGGATTAGCACAGTGCTATCAGCAGACTTGTGGTTGCTTGGTGAGCCAGGGGTGAGTCCACCTGTCTGTAGTCCTAAGGCCATGAGATCCCAGAGAGAGCAAGGGAAAAGAATTTGGGATGAAGGAGGGTTGGAGCTCACCTCTGCCCTCTGCCCAGAGTGAGGGCAGGAGTAGACAGCCTGTCTCAGCAGGCTCCTGGTTACTTGATCCTCAGGGGTGTGTCAATTTGGCTGCAGTCCCCAGGCCAGGAGATCACAGAGAGCTCCCTGAGAGTATTATTATCTTCAAATATCAACTACGAGTGTTCTTTTTCAATATAAGTAGAGAAAGCATTCTATTTTGTAAAAGATCACAACAAATGTAAAACCCCAAATAGACTGAATTTATAAACACTAGTACCTGAACCCCAAATTAAAATTTTTTTCCTGCCTTCTTTCCTTCCTTCCTTCCTTCTTTCCTTCCTTCCTTCCTTCTTTCTTTTTTTTATATTTTATTTTCCAGTTTAAATTTAGATAAGAAACGAAGTTGCTTCACAAGTCAGTTCCAGGTCCCTCTCCCATTCCCTCCCCTCCTCCCATGCCCTTCCCCCAACCCTCCCCCCATTATCCCCTCATTCCCCCAGGGAGGGTGAGGCCCTCCATGGGGATGTCCATAGTCTGTCATTTCATATAGGGCAGGGCCTAGACCCTTCCCCAAGAGTTCAGGGTGAGAGTGCACCTCACATTGTTCTATGGGAGTCCAAAGTCCATGTGTACCTTCCTTCTTACTTTGGGTCCTTTACTATCTTTAAAATATAGTTGGTAATAGAATGAATAAGAACAGGTATTAAATAAAAGTATAATTATAAAAATTAGAAGATATTTTCAAAACAATGACTACTTATATATATATATACATATGAATGCTCTTGCATCATGAGCTCATGCCTCCTTTAAACAAAATTGGGGTGCTACTATCCACTATTAGAAAGTTTGATTGCATGATCATTTTCCCTTTTGTCTTAGTGGTCCAATACAATAGTAGGTAAAGAAGGAAAACACGTGCCCTGTCAATTGATGTGAATCATATATAAAAGGTCAAAATGGAATTGTTTATGACTACTGTCAGAAGTGGACAAAATATTAAAATTTCTGTATCATGTTCTCATCACAGAAATTATGATGGTGTAAAAGATGCAATTTCCATTTATTGCCATGACCAAAAGAACTATTGATGGGAACCTGAACAGCAAAATTCTAATCTAAGGAAGCAACTGACTAAAATAAGATAATGCTCAAATTAACATGTGTGCTTGTAATTCTTACCCTATTCAGAAATATACCAAAACATAAGTGGTAATTAATTCATAATGTAGATTCTAAATGCAGACAATATAAAAATTATAATAAAATTGATAAAAAATGGTCATTAAAATTACAATTTACATTTTGTTGAGGATGAATAGCAAACTGTAAGAAAAATATATAAGTATAAAATTTCTATGGATATTTTCACTTTTGATACTTTGGTAATTCAAATAAATTATCCATAAAAGACTTTCAATATGTTATTGGTGGACACCTTGTGTCTACATGCTTTTATGAACATTTAGCTGAACTCCATGAATAATTGTAACACAGGTAAGACAAACTCACTGCTCACCAGAGGATTTAAGAAAGAAATATGATATGGATATTTCCCCTGTTCTGATTCTGTGGTAATCAGGACCAGCTAAAAATACTCTACACTTAAGACTATGCACGTGTCCCCATAACTAGTTCTATCCCTAGGCCTGGTTTTAAAAAGCTGCGGAAAAGAAGCTCTGATTTGATTGTTATGTGTAATCATGTGATAGCTAAGATTTCAGGGTTCTTTTAATTGACCCTAAAAAAATGACATCGTAGCTGCTGTAATAATTAGTACTTAATCAATTCTAATATGTTTTCTGGTCTGCTGTAAGGAAATTCTGTGATTATCTGTTGCCATTAAGGGAAATGTAATGCTACTGTTTTTCTTTCTTTGTTTTTTTTTGGTTTTTCGAGACAGGGTTTCACTGTATTGCTTTGGAGGCTGATCTGGAACTTGCTCTGTAGACCAGGTTGGCCTCAAACTCACCTGCCTCTGCCTCCCGAGTGCTGGGATTAAAGGCATGTGCCACCACACCCAACTCTGTTTTTTATTTTATAGGAAAATATAAGTATGAATTCTTTGTAGCCCTGGCTGGCCTTGAACTCATGACCTAGACCACACTGGCTTTGCACTCATAGAGATCTATCTTGAGTGCTGGAATTAAGGGTGTGTACCACCAGGACAGGCCTAATAAACATGAATTCTAGGACTCTGAACATTTGTGTCCCTTCTCAGAAATAAAGTCAACTTTTGCTTGGTGTTGTACCTTGGCAATATAACTTAAGTTGACTTTATGTGGTAATCCTCTTTAATTGTTTGAGCCTCTGAGGAACCTCTGCAATGATGCTTGCACTGGAGGTTTCATTGTTATTTAAAATATCTTCAGGGAAAGAAAGAACAATACAAATTCAATTCAGTATAATTGCAGAAGAGAGAATATTTATGAGAATGAAAGTTTGTAGATAACTTTTGTATTAGAAAAATATCATATTTTAGGGTTGATATTTAATTTAAATGTAAACCAATAAGCAGTTGAACACCCATTAACAATATAGCGTGGCATGAAAGAAATGGATAATAAAGAATGGAGAGTCAATATAGGTATATTAAAAAGTTGAATTCTGCATGTATTAAAATCTGTAAAGAAGTAATAGGGAGGATTTAAGAATAAAAATGATGACATTGGTAGAATTGTTGCAAAAAAATACCAGAAATGTTTAAACTTAGCATGAATGTCAATTGGATCAATTAAGGGAGCTATTTCACCTGACAAAACAGAGAAGAGAAGGCCATAGTGTTTGTGGAAGGCATAAGCCATCCAGGTTTATTATAAAACAGTTTGAATACTTAGTGAGGTGTCTTCTTGGAGGCTGAAAGTGATGGTCACATGCAAACAGCCAGAGAAGTTAGCACAAATATCAGTGGGATATATGACATGCCTCTTGCTAAGAATGAGAGGTGCTAATACTCTTTGAATACAACATGGGCTTAGGTATGTGTACTAGTAATGCTTTTCCTTATTAACAAGGTCACAGAAAATGCCTAGATTGAAATTCATCTGTCAATGTATAGCACGTAGACAAATAATTCTGGCTATGCGAGGTTAATACTGAAAGAAATAAAGCTGGACGAAGTTTGATACTTTGGGATGGATATGTTGAAAGGGAAAATAATTGACCACCTCAATGAAAACAGTAATGTATGAAACACTGGCTCTGGAGAGTCCAATGCAAAGCAAAGAGAGGAAGTGACTTTGAGATGTAGGAAATATATAAGTCCTATGATTTCCAAGAAACATCCCAAGAGTCATTCACAGTACAAATCTCAGGCAGAAGACAGGAAGAGTTGTACTCTCTATGTGGGTGGTAATGCAGCAAGGATTCTAGGATTAGGAAAATGGAGACTGAAATTCAAGGAGCAAACTACTAAAGGAGGAATGTTGACATCATTCAAGAGTGAGAGAACTTCAGGAAGTCATAAAATGACCAACTTTGAGTATGAACTAATGATAAAGGCCAAGAAAGACTCGGAATTATCAGGAAAAAAAGAACCTGAAAAACCACGCTGGGGCAGGGAAACTCCTTATTCCTGTCAAATACAGTGGACTGTCAACAGTTTAACTGTTTATAGTTAAAGTTTTCTTAAATCCATAAATTGATTGATATTCTCTCACCAGGAAACAGAGTTTTAATCGATACCACTCCAAATCATGTGCTTTGCTTAGTAAGTTACTTCTGGAGAACAGGCCACAGATACAGAGATTTAAAGGTGTTTAGTCCCCAGTCCATGTGATCAACTTAACATCATTAGTGATGCTACTTTGTGGACTTGCTCCTTTGGATGGAATGAAAAAGGTTCTTCTTGTCTCCATAGTATTCTTCCTTTAAGATATTCATTGATTAAAAAGAATACAACTTTTATGTGCATTTAATTTGCATAGAAATCAACAGAAGTGGAGATAACATGAAGAACTGAAAAACTTATAGGACATTGGGGACATGGCAAACACTGTCCTTCTTTAGTACTGGGGCAACACTAAATGAATAATACTAGTAACATAAAATCTAGAAAGAGTATAGCTTGATTAAAATAAAATTAAAGGACGAAACAGGTAACCAGAAAATTCTAGCTTCCCAGAAGATTTCTTGAAAACATTTAAAAGAAATATAAATTCTCTCACAGTCCATTATAGAAAACTAAATTCTCAACTAACCTTAAAGAGTAAATAAAGTCCTGCATTATCAAAATCAGAATAACAACCAGGCAGTGAACAAGATGGGTACCTTCTCTCATGCAAAGATAATTTTCTTGGGGTTAGACACAGGTGGATCGGTGAGGTTTACTGGCTAACATTCTAGTTGAAAAATCCGTGGTCCAGGTTCAAGGAGAGATTCTGCCTTAAAGGAATAAGGTGAAGAGTGACGCATAACAATTGAAAACATTTTCTGGATTCTACATGTGTATAACAGACATAACTAAAGAAATGAATGAGAACCTAACATTAAATAATCTGAAAAGAGTCATAAAATTATTTGACAATAGCTAATATATGTTCTATTATGAAAACTATTTGCAAATTAATGTGATTGTCTTGGTCTTGTAAAATGACCTGTGATTGCCCAGCAAGAAGACCATAATTCCTAGTGCAGCTTTGTCATTGCTTACAGATGCTACCACCTGCCTGCATCTGAAGTACATTTATTAGCTCATGTAGCTCCTGGGATCTGCACTGTCTTCAGAATAAGGCAGGACACATGGCTTCATAAACAGGCTTACTATGTTATGGGAAGTCAGGTTTACACCGGGTGAGTTTCTGCAATGGGCTTTCAGCAGGACAGAAACACAAAAGAATGTTCGAGAGCGATAGAGACTTTCAGATAGAGAGGAGAGGACTCATTTCACAGATAGCATGCCTCCACTTCGACCATACTGTACAACACAAACCATTTCAGTATGTGTTTGAGGCAAATTAATTCTACTGGAAATAAGATCTATTCTTTTTTCTTAATTTAACTTACAAACAAACTTGCTTCATATGTTAATACCAGCTCCCTCTCCCACTCCTCCTCTCCCACCTGCAACAACCCACTCAACCCTCCACCCCATCACCCCACCCCTCCCCAGGGAGGGTGAGGCCCTCCACAGGGATATCCAAAGTCTGCCATATCATCCTTCACAGGGCCTAGGCCCTCCCACATGTGTCCAGACTGAGAGAGCACCCCTACATGTGGAATCGCTTCCAAAGTTGATTCGTATGTCAGGGATAAATACTGATCTACTAATCAAGGTCCCAAAGATTGCCAAGGCCTCACTGACACCAACGTTCAGGGGGTCTGGATCAGTCCCATGCTGGCTTCTCAGCCATCAGTTGGAGTCCATGAGTTCCCCCTTGTTCAGGTCAGACATCTCTGTGGGTTTCACCAATCTGGTCGTGACACCTTTGGTCATCACTCCTTCTTTGTAACTGGGTTACAGGAGTTCAATTTAGTGTTTGGCTGTGCATGTCTACCTATGCTTGTATCAGCCACTGAATGAAGGCTCTAGTATGGCATTCAAGGTATTTGTCAATTTAGGGTAGCCTCTCCACTATTGCTTAGATTGCCATTTGGTGTCATCCTTGTAGATCTCTGAAAATCTCACTAGTGCCAGATTTCTCCTCAAATGTATCATGGTTCCCCCTTTTATGGTATCTCTATTCCTGCTCTCCTCTATTATTCCCCTGACTCAACCTTCCTTCTCTGCCATGTACTCTTCCCCCCTCTCTTTCTCACAATCCCTCTGCCCTCCTCCCATGGTCGTAATCCAATTAGGAAATCCTGTCCAATTCCCTTTCTCCAGGGTACTATGCATATTTCTCTTAGGGTCCTCCCTGTTTTCTGGACTCTCTTGCGGTACGATTGTAGACTGCCAATCCCCTGTTCCATGTCTAAAATCCATATGTGAGTGAATACACACCATGTTTGTCTTTCTGTGACTGGGTTACCTGACTCAGGATGGTTCCTTCAAATTTCATCCATTTGCCTGCAAATTTCAATATTCCATTTTTTTCCTGCTGAGTAGTACTCCATTGTGTAAATGTACTACATTTTCTCTACCACTCTTCAGTTGAGGGACATCTAGTTTGCTTCCAGGTTCTGACTATTACAAATAATGCTGCTGTGAATATAGTTGAACAGATATCCTTATTGTATGAATGTTTATCTTTTGGGTATATAACTAAAAGGGGAATTGCTGGATCTTGTGGTAGACTGATTTCAATTTTCCTGAAGAATCTCCATACTGGTTTTCAAAGTAGCTGTACAAGTTGACACTCCCATCAGAAGCAGAGGAGTCTTCCCATTCTCCACATCCTCTCCAGCATAAACTGTTTTTGGTGTTTTTTATTTTAGCCATGACAGGTGTGAGATGGTATCTTAGAGTTGTTTTGATTTGCATTTCCATGATGGCTAAGACTGTTGAGAACTTTTTTTAAATGTCTATCAGCCATTTTAGCCTAATCTATAGAGAATTCTCTATTTAGTTCTGTACCTAATTTTTTAATGGAATTATTTGGTGTTTTGAAGCCTGGCTTCTTAAGATCTTTGTAAGCTTTTCAGATCAGCCCTCTTTCAGATGTGGGGTTGGTGAATATCTTTTTCCATTCTGTGGGCTTCTGTGTTGTCTTGTTTGCTGTGTTCTTTGCCTTACAG